GCAGTTAAAGAGATAGTGAACAGCTAGATGCCAGCATCAGGGTGACCTGGGAGAACAGGCAGAAGAAGAGGGAAAATATGTAATGTTGAGGCCAGTGCTGCACATTTATTCCTGACAATACAGCACATAGACCATCACTGAGGCCCACAGGCATCAACAGCTTTAGTGATGAGTGAGTTGAACCTGGCTGGGATCAAGGGCCCTTTCTTGGATGCACTAGAGCAATGGTGTCCACTTCACCCCTTTGATTAGGAGCTACAGTGATGGGATGCAACATCATCCCATGTCTTATCCAAGGATTAACTGAAACTGCATTGACCAAATAGCAAATTAGTCTCCTCCTAGATACTGCAGAGCATGAAAATCAATGAATGTCAACAGAGTTTGAACAAAAGAGTTTAAATGAAGAAAAGGGGGGAATTGGGAGAATAAACAAATCATCTTTTCTGTCAAAGAACAGTTTAGACACCACCTTTTTGGATTGCGTGACTTGGCAGCCACCATGTTGGCCGCATGGCTTGCAGCACCGCTGGGGGCCACCATCTAAAAACAGCAAAGGCCACTTCCCCTTTGAATTAGTTAATTGAGAAAGACTGTGCACTTGAGCTCCAATCAAGAGCAAAGGACAGGTCACACGCACAAGGGATTATAAACCCTAGCAGCCCACCTGCTTGGTGCGCATGTGCTTCCAGACCATGTGTTTGCACCCTTCTATGTAGAGGTAAATATGTTTGCCTTGCTGCCTGGCTTCTGAGTATATTTTGTGTTCTACAAGGACCCCGGACTTGGGGGGCTTACCTTATTTCTAACAGTTACAATCCCTATATTATCAAGGGCTGCAACATTCCAACTAATAATAGTTTGAGTTATTTCTCAGTCTCCCTTACAGAGCAGGGAAGCTAAGGAGATGTAAGCAGAAGTCATTTGAGTTTCAGGAGAAGCCTTTAAATGATATTTACTTAGGTGGCAGGTCTTCCTTTGTCCTTCTTACTTCTTATTTCATTCTTCCTGTTATATGGACACTAGGGCTGGTGCTGCAGTGACCCTATTGCACCACGAGACAGCCATGGAGAAGGCAAACAACAAAGATAAGAGGAATCTGGGAAACTCAATGTCATTCTGCACCATATTGACCGGGAACTATCTACCAACATGCATCTATATAAAATGAGATATCCCTCTATCTCATTTAACAGGTGTCACTTTCAGGCTCTATCAATTGAGGCCAACCATAACTTCTCTTTTAAACCAATCTCACCAATACTCTAGATTAAAAAATGCATTTCTCTGGAGAGGGAAGATCATGAGAAATAGAATTTAAAAAAGATAACAACCATACATTCCCATAAATTTCTTTAGAAATGACCTAACATATGTAAGAACTTATATAAGATATCATCTTGCACAGCTTTCTAGACACCCTCAACCCCAAATGGCCACCATTTTCATTCTAGAATGACTATATCTTGAACTTCACCTCTGAAAATTATTTAATTTCAATCATAAGCTCCATATCTCCTCTCTGTTCCTAGTACATCTGCTGTTTCACTCTTCCACATCCCAGAGACCAACTAGGCTGAATCCTCCTCTTTTTTCCCCCTCCCAGATTTCTCTTGGGCCTTCCTGCTTTCATTCATGGTGATGCATTTTACAGATTCTGCAATCTCCCCTCCAGAATTCCTTTTCCTTTAGAACTCTAAGATCCTATCTATGTTTTTTGATATGCTTGATTAGGTTCACAGATGATTTTAAAGGAAAAAGATTACTTAAAAGAAAAAAGTTTACTTTTAACATGGAGGTGAAATGGGCCATTTGATAAGAATGTCAGTTGGCTTCTTAAATTTTAGAAATATTGTCTTCAGCTTGTCGCCATTGTCTTCCTCACCATCACCTTCTTCATCACCATCTTCTTCATCACTTCCTTCATCCCACTGCCCTCACTTCTGAATCACCAATACAATACGAAGTGACCAGCACTAAGTGCTTTTAATTGTTGGCTCATTTAACATTCACAAGAACTTAGTGAGATTATAAACAGTTAATGTGCTCTCTTGTGTATGATCAGTAGGATTCAAATCCAGCCCTGGTCCAAAAGCACACCCCTCTACATCTTTGTTACACTGCCTCTAGCAATTCTGGCATCCTTTCTCAACAAAAACCACCAGCCTTTCAGGAACATGTTAGAAATTTAACTGTAAATTTACTTTATTAAACATTGGACAAAGAGTCCTTTAGGACACATATATATGAGAGAGAGAGAGAAAAAAAGAGAGAGAGAGAGAGATGCTCTTACTAGCTACCCATTTCTCTCATTTTATTACTTACTAGAGGCCCGGTGCATGAAAATCTATGCACTGGAGGGGTGTCTATCAGCCTGGCCTGCCCCCTCTCACATTCCAGGAGCTCTCAGGGGTGGGAGACAACTTGGCAATCAGGGAAAGGTGACATCTCCATCATACCTCTGCTGCTGCCCCTGCCGGCAGTGCAAACCTTGGCTGGCCCTGGTTACTTGAGACTCGGCAGCCCTGAGATGCTAGGCAGCCACAATCCAAAGCTTGACTATGCCTCAGGCTGGCTGTGGGTGACTGGGGGACTGAAGAGATTGGGGAACTCCAGAGGCAGGAGCTTGGAGTACCCAGACCTGCCTGGGGGGGGCGGGCCCAGCTGTGCTGTGTGCCTGCTGCACTGTTAGGGCTGAGGGGACTGGGAGCCACCATCTTTGAGGGCATGACAATCAATTAGCATATTCCTTCCTTATTGGCTACGGGCACTGTCATCTTTGTGAGGGTGTGATGGTCAATTAGCATATTCCCTCTTCATTAGATAGGATATCTCTTTTTAATAATTGATTTGAGAGAGAGAGAAACATTGATTTGCTGTTCTACTTATTTTTGCATTCATTAGTTGCTTCTTGTATGGGCCCAGATGGGGATCAAACCAGCAACCTTATCTCTAATCAACTGAGCTACCTGGCCAGGGCCTTATTACTCATATCTCTATCTGAGTTGAATAACAGCTCTGCCCTGAGGGATCTCAAGCTCACTGCCCCACTGTCCATTTGAAAAGAATTTTTGTGCTTTTGTCAATATTCATAGGTGAAGAATATATTTTCCATATACTACTCATGGTTTCTTACTTTACATTAGGAAATGTTGATTTTTTTCTTGAATTCAGTGGTATTAACAAAAACAAACAATCAAAAATAATTTCTCACAATAGTTAGTCCTTGGCCATACATACCACACCCACCCAAGTCACAGGAGCCTCTTTGAAATAACTAATCAATCTCACCCACCTCATAACTTACATAGGTTTTCTTATTTTATGTTGGGATTAACCAATTTATATTTTCATTACTACATCTATATAGAAAATTATAGTGTGCTTTGAACTCTGTTTTTGAAATAGGTTCACCAGAAATTCTGCAGATAAACCAATATCCCCAGTGAATATTCCACAGGCCATTAGTTCAATGGGACATGATGAGGTGGCTCAGGAAATAAATCTGAGAAAGCCTACAGCCCATACCTACCTCCCTTAGAGAAACACACAGCATTTAAAAGCTACACAGAAGTCCTATGGTAAAAGAAATCTTTCAGAGGATTCAACTCAGTATTTACCACATCTATTTGACCCCGAAATCTCCCCTCACCCCCTGCCCTACAATGGTGTAACTAGTGGAACAAATTTCTTAGGATACCAGTTTGAGAAACCTGGGAAAATGTGCAATCTGTATGCAGTTATAGGAGCACTGTATGGGAGCAATAGAATGGAGCTACATTAGCTACTGTGGACTCTGCTGTTTGAGGTTGGAGTCCTGAGTGCCCAAGACTAGGAGAGGAGTATTTGCTCCTCTTGAATGAGTTATACAGGGCTCCAGGGGGGAGAGGTCACTGGGGAGCCAGGAAGCTGAAAGGGCCCACCTGTCCCCAGGAGCTGGGATAGTCCCTAGATTCTTAAGAGAGGGGAGGGGCAACTGCAAACGCAGACCTGGGTTTTTTCCTCTGGATGCGTGGGAGGGTGGGAACCAGGGCAGAGGAGGAAGCACAGAACTGCAGTTGAGAGCATGGCTCATGTGGAGCTGCGCTCATATCCCATTTCTGCTGTTTACTCGGCCCAGGACCTTGGAGCAGATTCTCCGAGCTTAAAATAAGCTCTCTCATTGGAAAAAGGTCAATGAAATCAATCTCACACAGTTTAATAAGGCAACGGATGGAAAGTGGAGAGCCTGTGGGGAGGGAGATGCAGAGGAAAGGCTTGGCCAATGGCAGGGTTGCCTTCATGGATTCTATGCTCTGGGCCAGTAAGAGGGGTGTCTGATCCTTGGCCCTGGCCATGACCCGCAAAGAAACCACGATCTTAGCACATTTTCATCAGATGCATAGTTGGATACAAATTCAGCAACTGAGAATGTAATTTTGTGTACTCAGCCTGTCCCCAAAAATTGCTCCTTTGAAATAATGGGAAACAGCACCCATGATCCATAATCATAAAAGCATAGGAGCCCAGAGTAAATAATGGCTTTCCCAGACAAGCCAACTTGGTTGTTATTTATAAGCTCCTAGGCCACCTTGCTGTTGCCAAGAAAATCTGCTTTACCCCTTTGCAGCTGTTCTGTCTGGTCTCTAGATCTATACTTGCTGGAAAAAATAGTTATTGTTATGCTAAAATCACAATGGGACTCACATCACTCACGGCTAAATAGCACCGATAAAACTATGAAAATGGCATTTTGGCATTGAAAGTTATTTTCTCACAGACTTTAACAAGATTCAGTGCTTTTGTTCTCATAATGCTCTGGTATTTCCAGCTTTACAAAAAAAAAAAAAAAGAAAAAAGATAAAAATATGAAATAGTATTCTGGCATAATATAATCCTTTCTCCAAAAGGGAGGGCTTTGATTTTGCAAACAGGAAGCCAGCAGGGGCTGTGTACAAAGAATTTAATATTGATCAGCAATCATGGTTGTGACCGCAAAGGTGATGTTAGCAGAGGCTTACCTCTTTCTTGGTGAATTCTGGTGAGTGGTCATTTTTGTCATCAATCAGGATTGTCGCTGTGGCTGTGCCCAGTAATCCATAAAGCTGTCCAACCATATCTTGAGCCTCGATGATCAACTCATACTTGGGATTTTCCATAGTCTACAAAGCAAAAACACAGCAGAGAAGATGGCATTTAGATTCAAGTAGGGAACAAGCATATTGCTTGAGCTGCCTCTGTGGCCTTCTCCATTGAGGGCAGCCATCTTTAATCAGTTATAGTATTAGTACCTGTTGTGATTAAATAGCACTTGGAATCTCTCCTAAAGGAGATAGTCACTATACATAGACTGGAGTTGGCTGTGGGGATGGCATCTATTTTCTGTTCTTCTTTAAGGGAACTTTTGACACATTACAGAATGTTGCATTTCTGGGCTTTGGGTATACATTGCATGTTTTATATTTATGCCCACACATGCCATTTTATAGCAAACTCATGAAACTGACCTCGAAATGAGACTTAGGACAAAGATAGCAGCAATAGGAACTCATATTTACTAAACAATAGGATGGGAAAGGCATTGAATTTTTATACTTTTCAGAAATCATCATTGTTAATCTTGCCAACAAGCATGCTAACTCACATTTGATGTTCCCATTTTACAGGTAAAAAAATACCAACTAAGGTTTACAGACACTTGTACTGGACTTCTTTCATGTCAATTTTAGTCATTAAGTTTTTGGTGTCATGTTAAATTTGGAAGATGCATTTTAATCGCACCATGCTCTGATAGGTTTAACATGGCAATATTGCATTATTGTCTTTCAACATACACAAGTTTTTCATTCGAATATTTGACAGACATTTTGCTACCCTATTTAAACACTCTGAACAACTAAGTGGCCCTGATCCCAAGATGAAGAAGAGTGCAGTGGGCAGATAGCAACCAAGCTGCATTCACATTTTTTTCTGTTTTCTTTCTCAATTCCTTTACCTTTTCACCCAGCCTCCCAACACCCCTCCCCTCTAACAGCTGTCAGTCTATTCTGTGTCTGTGAATCTGTTTCTATTTTGTTTGTTAGTTTATTTTGTTCCTTAAGTTCCATATTTAATTGAAATCATATGGTACTTGTCTTTCTCTGACTTACTTATTGCAGTTAGATACAGACAACAGTATGGTGATTACCAGGGGGAAAGGCGGGTGGGGGAGGTATAAGAGGGTGAAGGGGGATACATGGTAATAGAAGAAGGATTCACTTTGGATGGTGAACACACTATATAACAAACAGATGATGTGTTATAGAATTGTATACATGAAACCTATATAAAGTTTATGAACCAATGCCACCCCAATAAATCCAATAAATAAAATAAAATAAAATAAAATAAAATAGCCCCCTGTAGTTGATTTGCCTGTCTTGGTCATCTAGGACACCATTCTGGGAAGGCAGTTTCTACATTTCCTATGGGGACCTCTGGTCACTTATTCTCTGCCCATGTAGTGTGGGTTGGATTGACTTTTCCCACCATCTATCTGGCCAACTTTTGGAATGAGCCCTTATTAGAAGAAATCAGTAAGTGCATGCCAAGCTAGGGGCATAATGGCTAGTCAGGCACAGGACTTATGCTTTAAAGATGAGAGAAGGAAGCTCTGTTTCCCTGTGGAAGCATTTATCCCAGAAGCTAGATGAGCCAGGTCATGCCACAGCAGAGGTGGGGTGAGGGATGACTATCTGAGAATGAAGTCAGTCATATCCTGATAGAAGTGATTGCACTGGAGACACTTCATCATGCTATGCTTGAAGCCAGTCTTATCTATGGACTTCCAGCTAATTAGGACATTAATTTTTCTTATTTGCTTAAACCAGTTTGGATTGGTATCTTAATCACCCACACAGAGAGTTTCAAGTTGAACCACCTTCAAAAATAAAAGGACTTTTTTTTTTTTTTTTTTTTTTTTTTTTTTTTTTTTTTTTTTTTTTTATCGAAGGTCCTACAAGTTGCAAAAGTCCTATGAGTATAATGGCTTCAAAACCATTGCTTATTCTAAACAACAATTAGGAAATACCATGATAAACAAAGAACAAAAACACAAAGAGGATCTATGATTTCCTTTTAAAACTAAAAGTTAACATGGGAATATTTACTAGCTCAGTGCTCACTGTCCCCCAAACTTGTAAGTATTTTTAAAGGTTAGCAAGCTGTTTGATCCCCAGGGAACCTTTAATTGGTTGTTTCTTAACTAAGACTTCCGAGCGCCTATCTTAATTAAGAAGCAGTAGTTCTATTGGATGGTTGGAAGGTTCTAAACACTTAAGATGAATGGGATGCTGATATACTCCCTGAACAGGTTACTCACAATGTACCCCCCAACTTTATTATAACATTGTTTAAATTTAAGGCATGACAACTTGATACACATATATAGGGTGTCCCCTAAAATGTACACATACATTTTGGGTAATTATAAAGGCAATGTTTCTGAAAATACATTTCATTTTCAAAATTGAGCTATCAGCTGTTAAAATGTGTAAACATTTTGGGCGGACACCCCATGTATTGTGAAATGAGTTCCACTAGGATGGAAGGTCACAGAATTCTCTCATTGCTGAGTGCAAACAGAATTTAGCACCAAGCCAAGCTCTGGGTAATTCTGGTTCTGCCTGATTCAGTTGGCACCACTCTGTGAAGGTGCCTGAAATGCCATCTACTCTCAAGTTGAAGCTAGAAAATCATCAGCCTAATGTAAGTGACTTTCTACTTATCATTGACAAGTTGAACTGGATTTACTATTTGCCATAAATTTTATAGCTGGACGATAATGAAACCAATAAATTGGACCATCTTCAAAATTTCCCCCAAGTGTCTCTAGACATACTAATCACTACTCAGTTCTAATTTCTTGTATGACTTTTTTACTTCTGTAATAATATACTGCATATTTTGGGAAGCATGTAATCATAAAAATAAGAAATTATGTAGGTTTTTTTATATTCAAGAGATTATAATAAACTTAATGTCATTTTCTCCATGTAATATCATTTATCAATATAATTCATTGACATTACTTTAAGGGTTGCATAAAATATAATATGCTAATTTATAATTAACTTAATATTCTGCTATTAGGACTTAGAAGTTATTTGTAATTTAAAATATTTTTTATTTTTATTTGTTGTCGCCACTATTACAAATGACCCCCCATTTTACTCCCCTTTGCCCACCTCCACCCAGCCCCAGCACCACCCCTCACTCCCTTTTCTGTCTTTCACCACATTTGACTGTGTCCATGGGCTGTGCATATACACTAGGTGGCCAGATTATTATGATCTCTGATCAGTGTGTGTGTGTGTATGTGTATGTGTGCGTGCACGTGTGTGTGTGTGAGTGTATGTGTGTGTGTGTATTGGAGGCCCGGTGCATGAATTCATGCATGGGTGGGTCCAGCCAGCCTGGCCAGGGGGAGGGGACATGGGTGGTTGGCTAGCCTGACGGCTGGTTGAACTCCTGGTCAAGGGGATAATTTGTATATTAGCCTTTTATTATATAAGATATACACTGAGTGCCCAGATTATTATGTGTTCAGAGATCATAATAATATGGCCACTCAGTGTATATTCTTTAGCTAATCTTTTCACCTTCTTTTATCCAGTTCTCCCCACTCCTTTAGCTGTGTAGCATTCCATTGCATAAATGTACCACAACTTTTAGACAATCTAAATAACACTACAATGATCATCTTTATTCAGGAAGTTTTCAATATATTTTGACTTTTTTTTTGAATGACAGATTCCAAGACATGGAATTACTTGATCAAAGAATATGAATATTTTAAAGCTCTCTATTCATATTTCAATATTGCTTTCCAAAAAGATCTTACCAATTTTCATAGCAGTTCTACTAGCATGTTTAATTTATCTCAGGCATGGCTTGTCCCTAAAGAATACCCAATCGTGCTCCATGAAGCAAATTGGGGGGATGAATGTGATTCTATGATAGCTATCTCACAAGGATGCCAATTCCTCACAGCAATCACTCTTGTACAGGTTGCTATGGACATGCACTACAGGACTGCTTCAAGCACTAAGGGGAGATGTGCTGTGTTGCCTTCTCAGTGTCCCTCCCGTCCCTCTCCTCTGGTATCTATGCTATAATTCTTTTGGGAGCACCAGTCCTTCCTCCATCTCACCACAGATGGAGTTAAGTTAGGTTTGACACTATTCCTGATCTAGGGATGGTCTTGTGGCTCCTGCCTGGACAATCAGGGCCTCCCATTCCCATGTCCATGTGATGAGCGAGTAACCACCTGGGGTTGAAACTCAATTCCAGAACACATTTCTTTTAGAACTCTTAGGTAAAGATGTCCTCGTAATGTTGGGCTTGAAGGTGGTAGGGCATAAATCAGGAGCTGGTAGTGGCCATTTGCAACCACACACAGAAAGTCAGCCTGAGAGAGAAGATAACAGAACTGAGAGGTAGAAATGAAGGTTTTTTAAAAACTTCATTTGAGCTTTTATCAGTCATTTTGAAGTCAGAATTTATCCCTCAGATTTTGTGAGTTCTGTGAGCTAATACATTTTCCCCTTCCTTAAGACATTTAAATAAGATGTTCTGTGAGTAGCAACAAGGGAATCTTGACTAATGCAACTAATGTTATGATCAATTTTCTGCAGAAATGTAAGTGCTATCATTTAATGCTATAACATCACAATAGGCTCCTCACAACAACATTCCAATAATTTCATGAGTACATTTTAAAAAACATTTCTCCCTCCACAGAAACATATTTTTGATCTGAGAATGTTATTATATTTTTTTCATTAATTTATGCATCCATTTAATTAGAAGTTGTTGAGTGTGTGTGTGTGTGTGTGTGTGTGTGTATTAGGTGTTCTGGGTGTTGGGAACATATGAATGGGAAATCAGGGTTCCTTTTTTTAGGAAGTTGAGGACTGAGGACAGGATATTTACATATAACTGCAGCAAAATAGATTCACCACTAAGCCGACTGGATGCCTGCTTGTGAAAGCACAAAGGAAAGACACGTTGGCTTAACTCTCTGATAGTTTAACAAATTTTATAAATAATTTTTAAAAAATGAACCAGTCAATTCCCATCTCCTGAAGTAAATAAAACTTTATGACTGCAATGGGAAATATAT